ATTTACTATCTGCTACATTTTTATGAGGATGCTACTGCTCAAAATTCAGGTTGCTGGGACACCCGAATAGACTGGACAATTTATACAGACTAGCTAAATCACAATGAAGAGCAATACCAAGAGAATCAGTACAACTCATCTTCATAAGCACCAAATTCAGTGTAACTATGAGATTTCAAATGATTTTAGAGAGAGATTCTCCTAAAATTAATGCAGACAGCTCAAACTGAATCTCTCATATTTAGTCATACCAAGCAGTACTTTGCTCCGCAAATAATCCCAGTGAGTCTACTAAAAAGGGAATACTCCTGGAGTAAGATAATACTCAGCTTGAACAAGAGGGGAAAATGTGGAACCTTTATTAGTAAACATTGCCTTGACTTTTCTTTCTTGTATTAACCGAAGTAGTTGTATATCTAAATTTTTCCTCCTGACCCAATAGAAATTACTACTTAAAAGTGTATATAAATTATGGACTCTCTAAAAAGCATTACACAAATGAATTTCTAGTAATAAGATAGTGTTCATTTTTATCTGCAAATACTAACCATCTTTATATTTCATGTTCTTCAATCAATAATATTGTGTATGAAAAATGCTATAATAATATTGATTTTATATTTGATGTATATATACATACGTAATTTTAAAATTTGAAACAAATGCCAAATAATACATATGACTTTAAAATTGTTACATAATACTCTTGCTTTATGCCATTTCTCCTAACAATATAACTAGTCTTTCAGCTCTGTAACACAATACTTAACAGGATGCACTTTCAATTTATAATCAGAATTCTGGTATTGTTCTAGTTTTTCTATCTCCTCCTTCAAAATCTCTGATTCATATTATACTGTATATAGAAGCATGATTAACAGTTGAAAGCATGAACCATGTTTCCCTGGTAGGAGCACTATAAATTGAATCACTTACTTTAAAACATGCCATAGGAGAAATAAGAAAAAAAAATTAAATGTATGCATGCAATCTAATATACAAAATATCCTTAATATCCTTCACAGTATAAAAAAGGACACATAAATGTAATATAGCTTTTGTACCTACACTACTTTTGCTAACAATCCTACTGTCTCTCAACAAAGGTTTAAAATATACAGATAATAAAAGAAAAATCTACATAGGAAGTTTTAATTTATATTAATATGAAAATATTGATTTGGCTTTTTATTATTTATATGTTTGGATTCAGATTACTAAAAGGGGGAATACCAGACCCTCATCCTGCAAACACTACTGAGTAAGACAGTAGTAGTATCACTGAAGTTGGTGATAGGCAATATGCTTAGAAATACAGTAGATGTTTGCAAAATCAATCCAGAAAAATGCTTTAATATTTTCCAGATGTGGTAGCTAGATTATTATTTTAAATGAAGTTGTGCATGCTGCTGATCTATAATTTGGACTAGTGCCATTCAAAGGATTTTTTTTAGTGTGACTGAAATCTAAATAAAGGTAACTGGTGATACAAAATATTTAACAGTAGAATTCACACTGGAGAGCAAGTCAAACTGTTGGTCAGATGGGCCAACACTGCAGGATTGCTTTCAGAAGAAAGAACAATAATGGGTTAAAAAATTCACTCAGAAAACAAATAAGTAATTTGTCCTGATGAGCTTAAAGTACTGTCAACTTCTTCAGAATTTAAGCTTTCATTTTTTAATTATTACACTTCATGCCCATATGGTGGCAAAAATAACCTTCCAAATGTGAATGAGATAGCAAACTGATGCAGTGTCCTCTTTTTAGGCAGCACTGCTACTTTCAAGATTCATGAAGCAGAGACAGCAGCCCGTGGGGGGGTCCAAGCTGACTGCAGACGGAGGCTGCTGCCACAGACCAGTCTCTTTCCATGGGGAGTCCAGCCCCCCGCCCTCAAGGGAAGATTTCATTTACATTACGGACACTGTTTTTCATGGATGAAGGTGATCTCAAAAAGTCATAGTCTGCTAGATTGCTTTCCGTTAACATGGTAGCTATTCCACTATCCCACACTGCTGCTTCTGATGCAAAGGCAGCAGCACCAGGTAGAAGGGGACTCCCCAAGAGTGGAGCCAGAGTGCAAGCTGCCAGCCCTGCTGCCAGGAACTATTGATTAGTCATGTAACCTCTAAGATTTCATGCGATTACATGACTATTCAACTACATGATCTCTACCATCGCTAATGGAGACATGGCCTAGCTAGCTGGCTGCAGGAGAAGAAACACTTCTAGCTCCAAGAACAAGGTCCGTAATGAAGGCCATTAAGAGAGGATGTCCAAATGACTGCTATTTTTCTTAGGCAGAAATATAAAGTTTAAAATATTTAAGAATTTAGGATAGCAATGGAACTTTTTTCACTTTTCGCTGAAAATACGGACATTTTATAGAGCATATATTTACTTTGTATGTGCACAGACATAAAAGTTTAAAACAGCTTATTTATTAAAACACTGAAATTTGGAAACTAATCTTTAAAAAAGATACAAGGTAAGAGAGCTAGAATAATTTTTACGGTGGTGTTGCTGATAATAGAAACCATGTATTAAATTCTTACTATTACTTGAAGCCACAGGGTACACGACAGCATCCCCCGCACACATTTCTTTAGCACTACTGCAATAGGAACATATTTTCTCCTGTGTGTGTATAGATTTAATGACCTTCCATTTAAAAACTCATCAATATTAATCAAAGAAGAAGTAACATATCTTCTCTATCCCAGTTAAAATTTCTTTATTATATAATAAATTAGAATAGCAATGGCTCAATCTACTATATGTATATATATCCATGCATCTAAAATATTTATAATGTATTCTCTATTGCAACAAATCCAGTACAACTTACTAGAGAAAGATAGGAGTTGTATATAAAATGCAGAGTAGAAGTTATATGCAAGGTACTAAAAATTTGTAGCAGAAAGGTACTGAACAATATTAGAAGTCATTTAAGATCTCAACTGATCAAAATTCAGGCCAGAAGCACTATACTAATCCAATTTTTAAAACTAAGGTATCTCTTCCTTGGTGTCTTAGTGCTCCCCCATTACAAATCAACAGAACAAAGCTATCATAGCAGACTGCTATTTTTAAGTTTCATACTCAATGCACACACAGCACTCAAATGCCATCCTTTCCATTTCAGAGTGTTTTGGTTGTTATTTTAAACCACACTCACAGAATGCTAACAACCCCTTACACAACTTGCAATAAAACACATGATGACCTTTCCTGCTCTGCTCCATTCCTCTCCCTCTAAATAACGTGCCCTAAAATTATTAGAGATAAATAAGGTTCCAATACCAAGACCCTTTATGTCAAGTATCATTTTAGAGCAAGTTTTTGATCTAGTTTGTAAAATAATGAAAATAAACTAAAAAAAAACAACAAATAGTCTGGTAGCACTTTAAAGACTAACAAAACATGTAGATGGTATCATGATCTTCCATGGACACACATCTGAAAAAGTGGGTTGTGCCCACGAAAGCTCATGATACTATCTATATGTTCTGTTAGTCTTTAAAGTGATACCAAACTATTTGTTGTTTTTTAAGTTTATCTTGTACAGACTAACTCGGCTACCCCCTGAAGCTTATGAAAATAAGAACATATCAAAGAAAAAAATTGGAATCCTTTTGTAGTGTGTGAGAGAACAAGCACACTAGAGATCTAAGAATGCCCAAGACATCACTACACTACAGTAACTAAATGATTTGCTCACTACTGCCTCCACGAGTATACAGTGAGGGTTAAAGCAATTTCTGAAAACATGTTTAATTGAAAATCAAAGTGCATGCAGATCACAAGAGAGGAGTCACAGCCTTAGAGATATAATAAATAAATCAATAGGAGATAATATTTCATGATAATCATACAGACCCCCCTCAATGACATTTCACAGAGCATAAAGAGTCAGAGTCACCAAAAAATAATAATAATAATAATAACCTTCCTTTTTTTAAATAAAGCTGGGGGGAAATCTCAAACAGCAGATTTAACTTCCTGTCACCAGAATTTAGCAATAATATTGTCAAGACTGCAGACTTCTGCATCTACTGTGGCTTATGGGTTCTTGGCAACACCTGGGTTTGCAGCCAAAGCTTCACTAGAGGGGCTGCAGCTTAACAAATGCCTTTGATCTAACAGGGCAGACAACTAAAGCTCCTGAACACTGCTCTGCTTCTCTGACAAAGGCTCTATGTCATTGCAAGGCACAGTGACAGGGAGAGAGGGTGGGGTGATAGGAGGACGAGAAGAAAGATATCCAGAAAGAGGCAGACGACTACCGAATCCATGCAATCTATACACAGTCACAGGAAACCCCACTGGAAAAAAATAAAAATGCCTATTTTACATAATGTACAGATTCACACAGCTGTCTGCACAATTCGTCTTTCACCAGAGCTATTAACATTTGTGGGAGGAGCCAAAGCAATGATGAATAATCCAGCTGTTTCCCTTGCTTTTTAATAATAATCGTTACAAGAGCCTATATACCTTACCTAGATAACCCAAGTAACCCAGACGCTTTACACTAAGACAAATAGATGTAATTACTAAACATATAACAACCAATAAAATCAGCAAAAACCATGAATAAAAATCAATACATCAAAGGCCATTCTAGAATTCACTGATTTGTTTCATCCCTACCGATTCAAACCAAGGGGATTTTGCTTCAATCCTTCACCCTCCATCTTCACTCCCTCTCCATCCCACAACTTCAACACTCTTGATTGGTTCAGGATATTTTTAGAGCTCTGGTTTTTAGGGCGCCCCCCCAAGTCATCCATCACCTTCTTGCCTCCACCTCTCTTCACCCCATTTTCCCCAACCTCTCTGTGTCAATTCTCCCCTCTCCCTCCGGCTCTTTATCAACACCCTCCCGACCTCCATCCTCGCCCAGTCGTCCAGCCCCCTCCCAGGGCAGCTTTCTCTTCATCCTCTCCCTGCCTCGCCCCCTCCCGGCAGGGTGCGGGGTGGGGGAGGGGGCTCACCTCCAGCTCGGTGTCCGCGGGTTCGGCCACCCCGATGATCTCGCTGGGCAGCTCGGCCAGGTCGGTGACCCGGATCAGCCCGTCGTGCAGGAAGATGGTCTCCTCCTTCACCGAGAGCCACTGGGCCGAG